GAATCTGGATCTATCAATAGAATAAAAGAAATCTACTCCACATGGACGAACCAGCAGATGTTTCAAATAATGCAGAGTTGATTTGTTGTCAAGTCTAATTTTAACAATGACATTTGTGAATATATGTTATTTTCAAAGATTGCAAATTCATACATCTGGAGAAAAGTTTTTAAATGAGTTCATGCAAGAGTATGAAACTGATTGGTGAAACTGATTAGAAAAGCATGCAAGTTTTTCATACAGATGGAGCTTGTGTGCTTGTTGGTAGGCTTAATGGGTTTGTAGTTAAAATTTAAAACTGTAGTACCTGACTTGCTTTGTTACTTGCTTTCATTTGCAGAGAAGCCTTGATGATGAAAGGCATATCATCTAAATTCAAAATCATGTTAAAAGACAGCATTAAGCAAGTCAGTTTTATTAAGGCAAGGCTTCTCAGCAGCAGAATGTATTTATTACTTTGTAATGACAAGGGTAGCTATTATGAGCTTATATTTTAAGTGGTAAATATGATGCATTTTCATGGGTTCATGATTTTTCTGATACTGAAAATAAAAAACTGTCATTGAATAAAAGAGAACAGTTAATTGAACTTTGGAATGGTAGTAGATTTAAAATAAAATTCCATGTAGAAGTTATATGCAAGTTCTGGGCTTCCTTACCAATGAAAATGGAATATCATGGACTATACAATAATGCTTTAAAAATTATAATACACTTTGCTTCTATGTGTCTGTATGAGAAAGAGTTTTCATAAGTAACTCAAGTAAAAAGTATCAAAATCAGCTTGATGTATGTTACGATTTCAGACCATCATATATTGAAGTGCAGAATTTCTATGCAAGAATCAACAGATTCACCCATCTCATTAATGTGAATACCAGTATTTGTTTAATTTTTAGTTAATAAGATAAATATAATTCAAACTGTAATAATTTTGAATTATTAGAAACAAATGTAAATTTTCTTCTTTTAACTTATTATATAATACCAGTATAAAATTGAATGAATTTAAATTGATTGCATTTTAAACCCAAAAGTATACTAGTAGTAATGTATACTAAAAAAACTGCTTTTGAAGCAAACAAAATTAAAGTGATCCATAGAACATTACAGTTTATGAAAATGAAAATGTGAGAAAACTGCTAGTTTAGATCTGTAATTTCCACACATATGTCTTTTATAATAAAGATTGACATAAGTTAGATTTTTGTAATGTTTGTAGCGAATGTGTAAAATTATTTCATTTTCTCATACTTATCTAATAGATAGTTATCACGTGTGGTCGGGGAAATTGTTTAGTTTGGTCATCGAAAATGAAGGAAAGTCGGAAAAACCAGATTTTAACCCAATCTCAAAAGAGTTATGTTACTCAAGAGTATGTGCTTGTCTTTGTATAAATTGATATCATAAATATTAATGGAAATGGAAATTTGTGTGAAATTTGTTTCAGATTTTTGCTAGGCAAATATTTAAGAGCCAAAGAGAAGGAAACAAAAATAAGTTGAATATAGTATTTGCAGATTAATATGCTGTAAAACATTGCATAATATGAAAAATAGTTAAATGCATTTAATAAAAATTTTAAATACCTCAGATTTAAGGTCAGGGCTTACATCATAATTCAGTTTTGCTTCATTTATGCATATCACATTGTAATAGATTTCTAAGTATAATTTCCAAATTCCAAGTATAATTTGAAATGAATTGCATTAATTATTGATAAAGTTTTATATTAATCATGGATGCAATTTGAACAGTGATACAGTTAATGCTGATATTAGCAAAATCATCTACTCAATCTTATAAATTTTACTGTTCATGTTACAAATATTGTTAATATATATACATGGTTATAAATTATGTAGAAGCTTATTATTACATACCGTATGCCTCAGGGTTTGACCATTATAAACACATTCTTTTTATGTTATATCATCTTTAAGTAATTTTTATTTTTTAGAGGATGATTAAAATCTATTAATTGGTAGAATTATGCCTTTTAAAAGTATTTAAAGCCCATTTGTTTCATTTTCAGTCTGTTCATTTTTCAAAGTTGAAAGGGGGGGAAAAAAGTGCTCCACTTAATAATTCAGGTTTATTACATTATCACAGCAGTCTTAAACTAAATTGTGCATGGTCCAAATGTATGATCTAAAGTAGTAGGCATGCCGCAATAAAAAAAAAAAAATTAAAAAGGGGGGAGAACAAACAAAGAAAAATGTCTCTTCCCCCCTCTTAACAAAATAACATTTATGAAAATTTTCAAATTTTACTTAGTTTTTGCCAAAACCCAAAAGTTGGTTCCTGCAAGAAATTTCTCTTTGTCGCAATTTGTAATTAAAATTCATTGATAGCAAAATATTAAGATTTTCAGATTGACATTTATTCAAACACTTGTAATATATTGAGGTTGCTACTAAATAACATTGACATTTATTCAGACACTTGTAATATATTGAGGTTGCTACTAAATAACATTCTTTTAACTCAAACAAAAAGAAATATACGAAAATTTTCCAAGAGGGACAAACCTGAGTATAAACAATGAAATGTATTCTCTTCTTTTATTTATTAGATTTTTCTATGACGTATAAAAAAAATAATATTTGTACGAGGGTTGGAACTTTAATAGTGGCAACTATTTATTTACAAGGAATACAAAAGTGATTCATGTCACCATGTTTTACAGTCCTTCAATATAGTCGCCAGCATTGTGTACAACCCGTTTCCAACAATGTGGAAGTCGCAGAATACCTGTAGCAGCGCCTGTTTTGTTGATAGTTTGAATGGACTGGTCTACTGCCGCAAGAATCTCAGGAACAGTTTGGAAGCAAGTGCCACGAAGTAGTTCCTTCATCTTAGGAATTAAGTCATAGTCACAAGGGCTTAGATCTGGGGAGTATGGTGGATGGTAAAGCACTTCCCAGCCTCATCGCTTGAACAAATCAGTCACAGCTTGCGCTGCATGCGGCCGAGCATTGTCATGCAAAATGAGAGGAGCGTTCTGCAGAAAATATCGCCGTTTTTTTCTCAAAGCTGGTCGGAGGTTGTGCTCCAAAAATGAGCAGTAATACTGCGCAGTGATGGTCTGCTGTGGGGGAACGGTATGCGTTAGGATGACACCATCACAGTCGTACATGAGAATCACCATAACTTTCACATTGCTGGGGTTCTGACGAAATTTCGAATGTCGTGGTGACCCGTGATGACGCCATTCGTTTGATTGGCGTTTCAGTTCTGGCTGGTACGATCGGGCCCAAGTCTCATCCAGCGTAATGATACGGCGTAAAAAAGCATCTCCTTGCGCTCATAGCGCTCCAGGTGGGTTCGGGCAGCCATTTCTGCATTTCCGTCAATTCTGTTGGAACCCATCAGTGAAGCAATTTTTTTCTTATGGACAGGCATTCCTTCAGAATTTGCAGCACAGTCGTATGCGCTAATCCTGTTTGTCCGGCCAGCTGACGAATCGTTTGGCGGCGATCACTGTCCATTAGTGCGGCAACAGCTTGCACGTCTGCATCGCTGACACTCGGACGACCTGGCCGCAGCATGTCTGCCACGTTTTGGCGTCCTTCATTGAATGCTTTCACCCATCTTGCTACGCAGATTCCCCGCAAGCCTCTTGAAGCCCTTGATGACACTGTCGTGCTGTACGACCTCTGGCACATTCAATTTTTATCCAACATCGTTGTTCTTGTTTTGAAAACATCTTGACAACACTTACTTTAGACCGCGAGCTAATACAAGGATCCGTTCTTCGCGTCACTCCGCATGCGCATGACGTAGGCAGGACGAGTCTTTTTGTTGAGAGGTAAGGTAGGTATGTAGTTTATGTGTGGTATACGCGATATTCTTTGGTTTTGTTGCGTAGCGTTTTTTCAGCTGTGTTGCCACTATTAAAGTTCAAACCCTCGTATATAAATTATTATAAACATCTTTGTATCGTACTAAACTTTTCAGCTACAACGCATCATGGCATTTTAATTTTTATAAATAGAGAATTTCATCACAAATTGTAAATACTCATTGGCAGTCTGAGATTCTTTCCCCAGATTTCAAATTTTGTATAAGATTTATATCAAGTGTCAATTAATTAACTCCAATTCTGGATTTTTAGGAGAGCTGCATTTGTTTTTGGTTCTGAAAATAATGTAAAACTGACCTTCAAACCATTAAAATCTTTTTCTTCAAATTCTTGTCATAATAATGCTAATTAATTTAAAAGAAGTATTGTCGTGGATCTCTGCACATGAATACATTGTTTTCATATAAAATTGCTTATTAATTATTTTCATATCAAATTTCTTTGGGGACCACATATGATTTGCCATTTTGAGACCGCTGTATCATCATATGGGACATATAAGAAGCCAAGAAACAGAAAAAAAAAATAATAACTACTTTTAAACTCAGTATACAGTACAATGTAAAACTTTGGAAGCAGAATACATGCCTTTGCATAGTAATAATGCCTAAAACATAATAATTGCATGAAATTCAGTATAAACAACGAACATTCATTTCCCCAATCTGAATGCGATAAAAATACTGCATGGATTTAGGGATAAATGGAATATGCTTTTGTGTTGTGAGAGGAAAAAAAAAGGAGGGGAAGGTTTTCCCCTTTGCCTTGTAAAATATACTATTTTGTTAATGATGCTGATATTCACACAGCATGCTGTGGCAAAATTAGAAAAGACAGAACAGCGCACAATTGTGTATTTAAATAAAAAAAAGTGGGTGAAATTTAAAGTAATTAATAAAGATTTTATTATTGAGCTGAAAAAATAATAATTTCTTTTTTTGCTATTTCAAATATAAGACACATGCTGCATGCATTACATGTCCTAAGATGACACCCCTGTTTGTGATTCTTTCCCACCTTTCCTTAATTTGCTGCACTGTCAAGTAAATTGGAAGGCTAATTTTTTCAGATGTATCAATGAAAATAGAATTTTTTTAATTGTGTGCACTACAGTTTAGCATTTATTAAATTACAGTGTCACCTGTGTTTACTTGGCTTCTAAAGTTGAGGAATTCAATGTTAGTATTGGTCAGTTTGTGGCAAATGTGAAAGGAGATCGTGAGAAGGCCACAGAGATAATTTTGAACCATGAACTTCTTCTGATGCAGCAACTGAACTTTGATCTTGCTATATACAATGCTTTTAGGCCTGTGGAAGGGTTTTTAATTGACATAAAGGTTAGTAAAATATTTTTTGTAAATATACTAGCATTATTCATGTTCAGTCATTCTTATCTTATCACTATATCTTATCTTGTTCATTTGCACTTTGGCAGTTGAGGATGATGGTTCGGTAAAATCATCGAAACTAGTCCTATTAAATTTTTGAATAAAATGCTGATTTTTGTTGTTTGACTTCTAAATTAATATTTAAAGGTATTTAACCATGAAAATATTTTTATTTAAAGATATATTTTAGATTTTTTATTCACTTTATTCTGTTAATTTATTTTAATTAATAAGAAATAGCTCAGGTTTATGTATACTTTTTTTTATAAATTACTGTTATTTGCCGGCGTATAAGATGCATGCCTTTTATTATACACATTTTTGAAGGATAAATTTTTATTACTGATCATTGTAATGAATTTACAGTGTCTTAAATATAAAGTAATACAAAGTAACATTTTCTGCAAATACACAATCTATCTGGGAAAGAACACCTTTTAATCTTCTTCTTTAAAACCCAAACACTCATCTCTAGAGCTAAATGAAAAGTCACTTGAAATCTCTTCTAAATCAGCATCTGAGTCCTCATACAACAAATTGTCGTCTGTATCCAGTGCATTACTAATTTCACACTTCTCAAATGATTTAACCACTGTGTCTGTTTTCACAGCATCCCATGAAACTTTGACCCATTCACAAATGACGTATAAGACGCACCCTGTTTTTTAGACCTATTTTCAAAGAGAAAAAGTGTGTCTTATACACCGGCAAATGCAGTACTTTAAATTATTGAATATATTACAAAAAAGCCTGACTACCTGGCATTCAACTAATTGGAATGTTTGAATATTAAAAACTGTTTATAAACAAAAAATTAAACAAATGAGAGACTTGTAAAAGCTGTCATGAAGCTTGTATAAAAGTAATATTCAAAATGCTACGTTTCCCCCTTTTAATATCTAAATTGGGCACTCGGTTACATAGCTTTCTTTCATAAGATACTGATTAGCGCCTGCCCAACCAGTGTAACTATTATATAATTCCAAAAATTCGTCATTCAAATTGGACATTCCTCGTAAAATAGAAATGGAAATATATGAGAGATTCCTAATTTTTTTTACTGATGTTGAGTCTCTGTCTGTCAGGAGAACTGCTGTCACGAATATATTTAACATAATTTATTTTCGACTTTCTATCAACCATTTTCATCAATAAATAAAAAATTCTTGCTAAACGGGTATTTGGCACCAGTAAAGGATAAGTATGATGTCACTACACAACCATAAAATTTTCACATTTGTTTTATGTAAGCACAATTAATTCTAGATAAACTGATTGAATTTTTTCAAAGAATGATATAAATTAAGTCTTATTTATCTGCTTTTTATTGCATTTTGAAAAAAACGATTAAAATTTAGAACCTGTCGCCAATGAAGAAACATGTAGTGGAGTGTTCAGAATTATGGGATCCTGGCATCAAGAAAAGAGTGTGTTAATGAGCACAGCATAAGACTTTATTTGAAAATGAATATGCAATAGGCTTACAAAATGAAAAGTTATGACAAACAGTTTTAAACTAGAAATTTCTTTTCAGTCATTTGGCTTTTCCACCATGCATTTTTTATGCATGCATCTATCCAGAACTCTTCCATATGTAGTGTTCCGGTTTGACTAGAAACTTTCACTATGCCGATGTTCCGGTTTGATTAGAAACAAACTTTTCTCTGCCTCAGAATGGCAACTGTGAGAACTTGACTTTCGATTCGTTATGAGCAGTAGAAGCTGCTCCTGAGATGTAACATTAGATTCGATTCTAGATCTAGATTAGATTAATTTTAGTATTTTAATAAATCCTTTTAAAAAGATGAGTATTTGATCATAGAATTATAGCTGACCCCGCTTGCAAAATTTAGATGTGGCATTTAGATGCGTCGTTAGATAGTAGATGGAGGCAGCGACATTCGTGATTTGATTAGTGTATTAGTGGTACATAACATTTTTGGTGCATCGGCCGGGAAGTCGCTAATATTCGAAAAATGTGCGAAGTTGTGAAGCCTGCAAAAGGTAGGATAGTTTTCTATTTTAAAGTAATTATGGAAGATCCTAAGCTTAAATCGAACGCAAAGTATTAAGGACAGCAGTGTCCAAGGTACTAAAGAAAATTGAGAGAATTAAGCAAAGATATGTAGTATAAATGTATAGAAGAAACTTTAGACTATTAAACGAAAGGCAAAAATCTGAGTGATTAAACACTCATATAACAGGATTTGAAGGCCCAGAGGATGAATTTGAATTTGAAGTTTCATCCGCTCTAGAATATGAAGAAAAAATCCAACTGTGGCAATTTAAAAGCAAGAAAAAAATAGGGAATTACACAAACTCGAAATTCGGATAAGGAAAGTATGAACATTCCTAATGAAACCGCTATAGATTCCAAACTTGAAAATAATAAAATTATTCGCCTTCCAATTGACTATCACTAATTTTTTGGTTATTCTAGCAAGGCAGAATTTTGGAGTCAGTTCGGGCAGCTATCCATAACAATGACTCATTTCAAAGTAATAAATTCAGTTACTTAAATCATTACTAGGTGGGGTAACTAATGCATTTCCTACTTTCGCTTACAAATGAAACTACGATTCAGCTATAGAACTGTTAATTAACAGGTTTGGGAGAAAGTTTGGTAATAAATGCTCACATGATAAACTGTTAATCTTTCCCCTGTAAGAAA